CTGCTTACGTATTACTGTGGCTCTTTGGCAATGTACATTAGTAAATTCTGGCTTGTTCTCAGGCTCAGGTTGACCACCCCGATTTAGACTCTTACAGGGATTCTCGGTTTGAAGAGGCAATTCCAGTTACAGGTTGGCATGTTCCAGGGTGAAACAAAGACCAATGTGCCAAGTACGAACTCTGCCAGTCTGACCCCTTTAGAGACCCTTTGACAGGTTTCACAGGTCCCATGCTTTTCTGACTTACGTGTTCTGCCATCTTTCCTCTTCCTCCTCCTCCATAAAAAGAACGCTGTTCCAGCAAATGCAGATAAAAGTGAGAGAGCAAGGACAATTATCAATGCTATCGCTGTGGTAGAAAGGCCTCTTCGTACACAAATTGCATCAGAAGTGGCTGTCCCGGCCTTTTGTTCTCTCATCCCTTCCTCTTCACACCTAAGAAGGAGGAAGACATGTTATTAAACATGTAAGCGTTTCCACAGCCTTCTCACTGTCTTGGTGACAATCATCCACTGAAGAGCAAACCCTAACTGAGCCGAAGAGCCAGATTCACCATTGCTCTACAGCCCCTTTGCACTGTTTGTGGGACAGACGGGCTATGCGGTTGGGATGGGACCTCACCTGGTGCAGGTGGGCCACGGTGGCGCGGGGGGCAGGCCAGAGATGGATTGGCCCAGGGAGGGGGCATGGCCAGGGCAGTTCTGCACCCCATTAGTGGTCCCTAGGGGGTCATGGCTCCTGGTAGGCCTCAGAACTGACCTAGCCTGCGTCAGGGGCTGAACTGGCCCCCAGCTGCCCATGCCAAGGAGGCAGAAAAGTCTTTAGGACTTGGTAGATAATCGGAGGAGGAGCTGGTTTTCAAGTCTTTATATTTGCAAACCCTACCCGCTCCTGTGTGGCCATGGGGCTCTGGCCATGGAACTGAGGCTGTTACACTCATGGATGGCCAGTCCCAGTATGGCCCAGGGCCTGGTTCCACACAGTGTCTCCGCCATGTCACTGGGCTCTGTGCAGGGAGGATTTGGCAGAGAGGGCTGCAGTTGGAATCCACCAGCCATCCCATATCAAACAGCCCGGAGGTGAATCCAGCCCTCACGGAGAGCGTCCAGGGTACGGAAAGGGATTCCTGGGGAAAGGATTTCCCCACCACACAGCTCACAGCCCTACTGATTTAGGGTTACGTTTCTCAACTGCTGAACTTCAGGGCATCTCTAACCAGGTCTGATAGAGCCACAAAATTCAGGTACAAAAAAATAACAATGAAAGAAAGGAGAGAACGCAGCGTGTAAAGTCAGTGCAAGGGAAAAGGCCATGTGTAATCAGAGTCACCTACCTGGTCCATGGCTGACAGGTGCGTAACATGTTGGTTGCTGAGAAGGTTCCTTCAGGGCAAACCTCACATACGTTGTCAAGGAATTCTGTGCCTATAAAAGAGGATGACATAACTGGATTATTTCCTGAATGTGGGGCCTAAAGGAGCTTTGATTTCAGAAAGGTCTCCATCCGCATCTCCCCACTCTCACCACCACCAGGTTGCAGAGCCATCTCGGTTCGATCAGGAGTCAGCACTTTAAGAATAGATCTGCGCTGGCGTTTTATTCCTGCCCTATACTTAAATCCGTCAGTACTCATAGAGCACAGGTACATGGGGGAAAATGCACCTCCTGCTGCCCCACATACCTGGGCTATTACAAGGGCCAACATCCCAAAGGAATAGTAAGATTCAAAATAATGGTGCCAAGTTGTGTAGTAGCACAAAAGCTGCAACAGAACACAGCAGTGAGGGGGTTAAATGCCCAAAGGACACTGATAAGGCATGAAGATAAGGCAGCTGGAATATGAAAATATTTAAGACTTATCCTGCCGTGATATCAATTCATGCTGGGATGTGGTCAGCGCTCACAAGCTAAGCAGGTGCTGGCTGGGAGACATGGGTGAAATCCTGGGTGAAATCCATCGTCTTCAGAGGGGCCAAGATTACACCCCAAAATGTGTCTGGAAGTGATGCTGCCACCTACTACTTTACTACTTCTACTCTAGGTGCCCAAACACTATGGTGATGGGTTATGTAAGTAGACAGATACACTGGTGCAAGGAGAAGCTGCGGTTCTGGCTGTGTACACATTTCCCACGTACACATCTCCTAACCAAATTCCGGTTTGAGGAATTATATTCCACTTACCTACATTCCTCTTGTATTTAACTGAATATAATATTCTTCACCTTTTGACCTAACCTGGTGCAAGGCTGTGAATTCTCAAATAGCTGCCTGCTTCCACCCCACGATGGCCACATTTCAGGGCTGGATGAAACGATCCCTGAATATAGCCTGGAGATAGTTTTATTACCTTTGGAAAGAACTTGGAACTGGAAATATAACAACTATCATAGGACACTATCATGGATATGAAGTTTTACTCTGAAGCCTCCAATTCCATATGGCCCTGGTAGGGGGAACGGGGAGCGGAGGAGGATGGGGCGGGCGGCACTTGGATTCTGGGACTTGGACTTGCAGACCTATGCGTATATTAGGTCGACTTACAGCCACCGCAGTAATTACCCCGGTGGTGCATGTCCACACTCCCCTCCTTGGGCCAGTGGGGCATGTCCTCACCAGGAAGGCTCCCACCAACCTCAGAGGGGCAGTGTGGGGAGCTGACAGCCCGGTCTCTCAGCTTTGCTGGCAGCTCTGTGCGAGGAGCCTGGCAGCCCCACAGGTTCCTGGGCTCCTGGCGGGCTGCCTCCCCCCATCCTCTGTTGACACTGACATAATGAGGTCCCTTCCTAGAGTGTCATTGTAAGGCGCCCGTTTGCTTTTTCCTCCACTTCTCTGCAACCTCCCTTTCTGTCGCAGTGTAGAAATGCTACTGAACAGCCTGGGTGATGTGTGAATGGAACAACAACACACACTCGGCTTCTCGCCAGCAGCTCCCATCCCAGGATCTCAAAGTGCGTTAAGCTCACATCACCCCCCTCAGTATCCACCTTCGGAAACACGCCTGGCTGGACAGTCAAGCTCATTAGTTATTAGAGCAAAGAACCGTGAGGTACTTTTGGTTAGTCTGGAACTCACGTGTGCCCTTGATCAAAAGCCTTAACAATGGACCATAGCCTGGATCCACACCCGCTCTCTCTGTAAAGGGACTTGTGTCTACAGCAGTGATGTACTCCAATGTAATTAATGGGGAAAAGGTGTTGCTGAACAAGTCTGTTGCACCTTGGGAGCTCCAAAGGCGGCATT